CATACATACATACATACATACATACATACATACATACATACATACATACATACATAAATTCTATCTTTCATTATTTGTTTTATAATATAATGGCACATTTGTAAGTATACATCCATCCCCATCTAAAGAAAGGTTTAAAGAAACAGTTTTGAGATAAGGCGATGTAAAAAAAAGAGGTGAACTGCACATCCTTCTTTCAAAACAACACACCTTACTTTCTCTGCATAATTTGAACAGAAATATGCTAGTAATCCACGCATATAAAATAGTACACCTGGAAATTATCTGCATGTGTAAAACTCCTATGTTCTGCCATGCCACCTTGAAACACTGATCTCATTTAGTTCTGGAAGCCAAAATTTGGATGGTAGCCCACAGGAAACAACAGTTCTCTCTCCAGAACAGGCTAGAAAAATACCTGCCCAAAACCCTGGAAAGCTTCTGCCTGTGAGAGCCAACAATGCTTGCCTGCTGGGACAAGTGGCAGCTTCTTGTGGTTTTAATGTGCAGATTGCAATTTAGTGGCCACCACAGTCTGTATTTCTCCAAAGTTTGGAAACAACATGTTGCCCAGGGCTTTTTCGGGTTGTTGTTCAGGGCTTTTAGGACTGACAGGAGAAAAAGGCTCTAAAAATCTGATCTTCAAAACAAGTGATAGAAGAAACATTAAAAGAAGTTGTTACAAATGTCTGTTTTGACATGCTCTTGCCAAAAGGCACATGTAAGAGAGGCACCTCCACCTCCCTTTTAAAACTATATTTATACAGGTGAGCCCCAGTCCTGTAAATAAATGTGTACTACCAAGTCAGCCAGGTTCCCCAGGCCACCCTTTCCTCTCCTGTTCCTCCTAAGTGAAGGCCAGGAGGCAACAGCAGGAATGATGAATTAGACATTCAGGATTTATCCACCCCCTGACCTCCCCATTCCCCACCCAAACAAATAATAACAATTAAATAAATGTCCATAGAAAGCTAAACACAAACAATGAATTGAAACTACACCTTTAAAAACACTCTTTAAAAGCCTAGCAAGAGACATAAAGTAACTTCCAAGAAAACCATTGTGATTAAAAATGGAAGTGTCTCCAATGTATGTGCAAGGTAATTAAATGTTTGTAGAATTGCAATTTGACAAATTTTAGTATGGTGCAAAAATGTGCCAACGGGCACTGTTCTTACTGGAGCAGAAGAACTATCTTTTCTTTGGAAATGTCTGCAGTCTAGAGATACCCCATGTTTTGCAGAAGCTGCTGGTTTTTCTTCATATTCTCAAAAATCATATAGGAAGACCAAAATCTCACTTGTTGAACTAGTATGTCAAACAGGTGGTGGTTGCAACAGGAACTAGCTGTTGTGACTTGGACAGCCATTCAGGAGGGGAAATGAAGTGGAAAAAGACATCCTCTGATCAAGGCTGTACTTTCAGCCAAAGTTTTTTGTGGGGTTTCTGTCAAAGAAGCATAACTGGAAGTAGTTAAACAATTTTTGGCACTTTAAATAACAATGGTTCCAAAACTTGAGACTCCTTACATACCTGGGATATAATTCACAGAAGCCCTACGAAATACTGTAGCTTCTTGCACACACTAAGGCAGTGGTTCTTAACCTTTGTTACTCGGATGCTTTTGAACTGCAACTCCCAGAAACCCCAGTCAGGACAGCTGGTGGTGAAGGCTTCTGGGAGTTGCAGTCCAAAACTCCTGAGTAACCCAAGGTTAAGAACCAGTGCACTAAGGTTTACTAAATGCTGATATATTTTCCTCTGGACTCTAAGTGTGTGTGGTGGTGGGCAGCCAAATAAATAACCGTGCAATGAAAGACAAGAAATGCACATATCTTCCTTTGTCATGAAGTAAGCACAAGAATGGGACGTGGTGGCATTGGTCAAAGACCAGCAGTCATAAGATCGAATCCATGCAATGGAGTGAGCTCCTGCTGCTTGTCCCAGCTCCTGCCAACCTAGCAGTTCGAAAGCATGTAAACATGTGAGTAGATAAATAGGCACCACCTTGGTGGGAAGGTAACAGCATTCCGTGTCTAGTCATGCTGGCCACATGACCACGGAAACTGTCTTCGGACAAAACTCTGGCTCTATGGCTTGGAAATGGGGATGAGCACCGCGCCCTAGAGTCGGACATGACTGGACTTAATGTCAAGGGGAACCTTTACCTTTTAAGCACAAGAATCCTGAACCACACCCTTGAGAATTTCTCTGAAATTGTTATCTGTGGAAATTATTTTTGAAAGAAATCTCTTTCCTATCACATAGACTGACAGTAGTTAAAACTCCCATGGAAACACTTTTCGGCACAGTACTAGGCTCTGGGACTAGTGTTAACAGCCACTTTTCGGCACAGTACTAGGCCCTGGGACTAGTGTTAACAGCTGAAAGCGGGAGCCAGGCACCTGGATATCTTTTCTTTTGGCTACAAGCTCAGGAAAGGCAGCCTCACAGCTGATGTGCAGATGTAAGTATGTTAGCGGAGTCCAAAATTAATCTAAGAATAGTCCTAGTAGCCGCCTAGAGTGGTCTTAATCGACGAAGGCAGCCTCACAGCTGATGTGCGGATGTAAGTATGTTAGCGGAGTCCCAAATTAATCTAAGAATAACTCGTTCACTTAATTACAGAATGGATGAATGATGGAAAATTTTAGATTGTCTCCTGACACTCTGTAGGGGTTTAATCAGAGTTAATACATCCCAGAGGAGCAAGGTTATCCAGTTTTCATCATTTGAAACTATAATCTTGCCAGATGTAGTATATTACAGTGCTATACCTAGGCACAAAGATTTATAGGAGGGTCTGTGATAAAACAGTGCAGCTGCTACACTGCAGTTACTAACAACACTCAAATGTACTATAACAGGTAGTTCCATCTAAGTGCAATTTCATCATAAAGAAGATTCTGAGCAAGATGTAACATTCTGACAAAAGCTTAGCAACAATGGGTTTAGGGGGGGAAAAGCCTGATTTGATAGTCTCTCTCTGGTTGCGCCTATGAAAACTCTGCAGCCTGCCTTCTATGTTGTAAAGCTGGGCTGAGGAGTCAGCATTTCCCCCGTGCAATCTGTTGGAGTGTGGAAAAAAAGAAAACAATGTGCTCTCGAGTTGTGAAGCAAAGAATTCTTCGTATTGGCACTGCTTTCTACAATGCCCATGAGATGACAGAATGTTATATGGTCTCATGGGCATTGTGAAAAGTGTTGCAGGTATGAAAGATTTTCTGTGAATCACTCTCAGTATACAGGGAACATTCGAAAAGTTTTAAAAGAAGGAATAGAAGACCTCTCAACTACCTCATATACTTCTGTTAAATTGAACTGTTCCCTCATTTCCTTTATTAAACTGGTTCTTCTTCTTCTTGCAAATAAAACCAAAGTAAAAAAATTTTTTTGCTTGCTTCTTTGTTTTAATTGCTTATTTCCAATGCTTCTTCTGTGTGGAATGGAGAATTTCATGAAATCAGAGACTGGAGCTTGGTACAGTATTAATGTATACACTGCATTGGGTTCTGACAATATGTGTTCTTTATTCACAGAAAAAAATAAGGAGCTTTCCACACTCTTCCATGTGTAAGTGCCAGGCCAGCATTCTTGGTAGCCTTCAAGTTCCAGGTCACTCATTCATTCATTCATTCATTCTCTCTCTCATTTCACATTCAGATTTGCAAGCATCCACCATCATGTATACAATTCAGCAATGTCCCAGCTAGTTTCTTTTAATTTTACCTCATCTTGAGACTTCACCAGTGTTGTGAATGTTCTGTCACCACTTTCTCCATCTATCATTTTTTTCCGAATCTATGCAAAGATAATTATTAGAGAACATATTGTATCAGGACATAGTTGATAAATTTAATTGTTCTTCAAAAAGATTCACAATCCTTTTATGCACTGTATAAGAAAGTGAAATGTATGTAAGGATAGGATATATATGCTGATATTGGCACTGCACAAACCCTGACTAGGATCTTGGCCTAAACATTTAATCTGAAGTCACATACATAAGGCAGTGATAAATAATAACCATTTCAATAGCACTACCAAAAGCCCTCTTAATTTCACAGTAAAATAGCAGAATGGATTGCTGATGTTCCTGGTACTGAACATCTAGAATATGATTCTTGCTAGGAAAAAAAATTAGTAGAAAGATCATTTGGTAAGTATATCTTGATAGAAAAAAAATATTTCTAGAAACAGCTGCAGTTTTGAGCTATCAAATCTAGCCTCAAGCTGATTACCGTATTTTTCCATGTATAAGACACTACTTTTTCCTAAAATCATTAGACTAAAAATTGAGGGTCATCTTCTACACAGACGTAAGCTGATGAGAGAACAAAATGGCCCATACCTTGTCTCTGCAAACAGGCTTCCTTCAATCACAAGGTTTAGCTGCCTCCACTCAGGAGGCTTAGCTTCCTACAGCCAGGAGACTTAGCTTCCTCCGGTCACAAGCCTTATGTATCTGACATCAGCTGATGCTGAACAAACCAACTGCAACAATGCTCAGATGCAACAGGGATTCCTAACATCCGAACATTCTGAGCCCAGAGGCTGAATAAAGTTAAAGTGTGATGCATAATATGACAGTACTGGTATGTAAACCTTACCTAATTAGTAAATAAAAATGTGTTCTCTTTTATGTTTAAAATAGTGGAGGCATCTTATACATGGGGGCGTATTATACATGAAAAAATACAGATCTTTTGTGTAAAATAAGCACTCCCAACCTGACTGAATTCCAAGGGCTCATTTCTGACATGGATTAAGGCTTTTTAATACACTTCTGTATCTGAGAAGGTGTTTCAATGTTAGGGCATAGTATGGCTTACCGAGGGAAGACTCTCCGGCATATACACTGTCTTTTCTTTTGAGACTTTTGAGAATCGCCACCTTATTAACACAGACATTCAAAGCTTTGCTGTGTGTCCTTCTACTTATAGTTTACTTTCATTTCAGCTGTTTTAGAATTATGCACTTCTCTCTTTTTATTGATTTTTTTAATGAAAAAAACCCCTCTAATCCTCTTTGGGTAAATTTATAAATAATGCCTGAATTTTTTAGAAAATCATCATCATCAAAATGACCAGAAGAGAACACTTTTGTTCTAAAGTATACTTCAGGGCCAACTCCCTGTACAAGATATGCTAGGAAATGCATACCCATTTGGTCAAGAAAGTGGTAGTGCCTAATCTAAAGCTGCTTTTGGAGCACAATTCAGTAAATTGCCTGATTCTTTCATTATGAGACAAATTTGAAAATCCTTTCCTTATAGTACCTTGTCACTTCCCTGCTTATTGTTCAGTCTGAGCCAAAATAAAATTATGGGCTGCATTGCAGTTGTACCCTGATCCTGGATACTTCTAACTCAAATACCGTTGCTAAGAGTTCTGGTTACTCAAGAAGGCAACTAATTTAAATATAACAAACTAAAGCCATCTGTTATTCCCTGCTAGAATATACCCAGGGTATCCATGTGACATACAGATTCTATTCCTTCAGAAGGTCTAGTCTAGTTCTGACTAACAATTGGATTTGCCCTCAGAATAATGAAGATATCAACTTATCAATACAACTCACCTCAACTTTAATATCATTTTCCAGCTCTGCATCCAGAAAATCCAATGTCACTGGCTCCTGAGATTTGGGATTCTAAGAAAGAAGGTATCAAACCAACCAATAATAAAAACATTTCTTCCTATGTTTCACTGAGAACTGAATTGTTGAAAATGGTTCATATGCTATCTTGAGAACACTGAGACTCATAAAGCAGGAACTACTGTACTTATTTCTCTAGTTTTTACTCAATACAATTATATACAGTATGTCAAAAGAGTTCAATTTCAAGCATTTCATAATACAACTTTCCATTTCAACAGAATCAATTGGAAAGAGATAAATTAATTTGCACTGGAAGTTAAGAGCTTGGTACATTCTGGGAATATATAAAGGCTGTTTCCTTGATCTAAAGTGTTTTGCAAATGATATAAAAAAGGTGGGGGAAGAAAATAAGGCACAGCATCATAGTAACACTAAGAGGGCAGACTGAGGAAAAGAACCCACAATTCTACTATATAGAGAGAAGAGGCAAAACACTTTGAAATGAGAGGATAATGGTGGACAAATGGAGGCACCAAAAGAGAAGCTACTAAATCCAGGTACATGGGAGGAATATATATATATACAGGTATTCAAACATTAGTGAAATAATGAAGATTGTTTGATTAAACGCCTCTATCATTTTAAAAGCATAAAACTGATAACATCTTATTAATCTGAATGAATAAATGAATCATTTTTGGACTTGATAGTGAAGCAAATCAGCTGTATGTAAAATAAATGTAAAACTGAAATGAAAACACAATTTTGAAATATTTAAAATTCAAAATAAGACAATAATTTAACATTCAGCATCTAACTCTAAAACAAAAAGCAAACAAGATTTAAATAATAAAATTCTTACATGCAATGGAATGGTTTTAGAAGGATCAAACCCAGGCAGCATGCATGGAGGCATTGCTGTGGCATAAGGAGCATTGCAGTCCATGTCCCATTCCAGTAAATAAAGCAAAGATACAAAAGAAAAGGAAATGATGAAGAAGCCAGAAAATAATACTAGTGGGTTAGATCTGGACTTAATCATGATTACAGTAAATCCTCTGAGAAAAAAATGTGAGGTTTGTCACACTTACATTTTATTAAGTCTTCATTAAGTTCACTCTAAGCATGACCTAGTCCACATGCAACCCAGTCAATTATTTTATTTTTTAATGATTTAATCACTGTGAAAGAGTCTCAAAGCTTAGGCAACCAGTTTATAACATTTAAATGGGCATTACTTCCTGTAGCACAAATGCCCAAGAAAACATAACCTGAATATGTATTTTAAGCAGAAGCTAATGAAATGAAATGCTTGGTCCACAATCCACTAGGGAGTTATCTTCCATAAGCCTTTCCTGTGTCATCTTTTTAGATACATATTGTTGGGGTTTAAGATCAAAATAGCTAAATTAGCTTAGCTCAAATTAGAGTGCCTAGACTCTTCCAAGCAGTAAAGGTGCTCCAACAGCCCTCAAATAACATGAATGATGAGATTTTCCTCCCTTCCTCTCAGCCTTGCAGCTCTGGGCATCCTATCAGCTGTGAACTCTTCCAAGCAGTAAAGGTGCTCCAACTGCCTTCAAATAACATGAATGATGAGATTTTTCTCCCTTCCCCTCAGCCAGCAACCCTCCGGATCATCCAAACACCTTCCCTGGAGGGTCTCCTAATTATTTGGAACAAGTTTTGAGGGCGGATGGCATGCCCCCCCTTCTGTTGCACCAATGGAAACAGTTCCATCAGCAGAACAAACTGATAGGTAACAATGAATTACTTGGGGTAGGCCTGCATGTTTAGGTCCCATTCACTTTGATGTGACTTACATAAAAGAACAGTCAGGTGGCTGGCTTCCTTCAGCCCCCCAAAACACTTGAAAAGGCCTTCCTTCCTATCTGCTTTTTGAGCAAAATATGTTGTCACATGCAAGGAAGTCAACTTTGCCACCCATGTTATTTTTTTCATTTGTTTGTTCATTCATTAGAGGTTTTACATATTTTGGTTTGCTTTGGGGTGTTTTTGATAATAAAGAATACAAGAGACCCAGAAATTGGGGAAATAAGTCCAATGGTTAAAATAAGACTTTTGATTCCTAGCCAAGACATAGTTCTTGCTAAACTTTGGACTCCATGAGCTCCTCCCTTCTCATTTGGCCGATACACCTTTACTGTAGCCATTCAGTATGACTTGCAGCTCTGGGCATCCTATCAGCTGTGGTCATAAAGCATGATTAGGTAATCCATGTTACAACGCCATACAAAAGCACAACTAATCATAGAAGCGTGCTACCAAAAGAAAGCAACCAAGCATGTTAAATGCATACTGACTTCCAACCTGGCTATGATAAAAGAAGATGTATTAGTTCAGGACAGAAGAAGTGACAAAATTGGTGCAGCAATGTAAATATGGAATTCTTCCATGGAACTGAGAGTTTGTTGGGGAGTGACTTATAAATTAAAAAGAGCTGATATGGCTGTGTGCAAGCGTTTATGCATAAATCTGTGTATTTCAATGCATATAGGTATCATGAATTCAGGGGTGAGTACCAACGCTTGCTAAAAATTCTGTGTTCAGGTAACTGCTTCTAAATACATAGTACACTGGATGTACTGTTTCAAAGTATGATTTGTGCACCATTTTCTTACTGGCACATAGAAAACTGTAAGCCACTAACACTGCAGAACTGCCTGTTTGTGGTGTAAAAAAGCCATCAAGGATTGTGTGAGAACTTCAGATTAACAAGTCAGTCAACACACATTACTTTCCTGCCCCTGATTCAAAACACTAAGAATTGTGTCTAAAGTAAAATTTAATTCTCCATTAATAGCAACACACCATCATTTAAAGCAACAACTTCCACAAGCATCCACACAGGTTTTTAAGCAAGCTTCATGCTTTAGAAGCTCTTTGAGCAGGTATACAGCCTAGTTAGACTTTCCCTATGAAGCTAAACAGAAGCTTTCTAAACTTAGCTTCAGCTCTATGCGTCTTTGAACACACTAACAGTCACCTGCATCCATAGTTACCTGGAGATGGGGTATCCTTTTTTTAATTTTGGGTATGCCCACACCAATGTGCTAGAGCAACAAAACAGCATTGATTCAGATTTTCACATGATAAATGACAGTGATCTCTGGTCTGTGGTTAACAATCTAAGAGTGTATTCCACTCCTGGAGGTTTCTGACCAGGAACATACAGATCCCAACACACACCTTGAATCTAAACAAATTAACTCAGTACAGTAAAGCCTATTAAGATGTAGATTGCAGCACGCATGGCTTCAAAGTTGCATATTCTTTGTCAGCAGCAGTGGATAAGCACTCAACCATAAAAAGGAGACTTAAATAACACAAATGTTCACCTTGTACATTTGAACAGGTAGTATAAACTATTTATTTGAAATGTGCTTAACTGGACACTTCTTGCATAATGCCCAGTTCTGGACACCTGCCTTCTCTTCAAATGAACAGTACAAATCACACGGACTCAGTTCAAATGGTTCAGACAGTTTCTTGTCAGCCACTGGAGGTGTTTTACAGCAGAACTATGGAGTTTTTGTCTCATTGCACTGTGACAAAACCAGCAGAATCTATACTTACCCAAATGCAACCCCCATTGAATTCAGTGGGACTTAATTCTGAGTAAGCATACAAAGGGACTGTATACTACATGAACTCCAGTTAACTGAAATACAGTATAGAGCTCTTTTCCCCTATTTGTTTGTGTGCTGGTAGGAAAACCTTGATGGGGACACTTCTCAAAATATCAATCAGAGTTCCAGCCAGCCATAAAGAGAGCCATAAAGAGAGTTGCATCTGGCCTATTAATCACAGGATCACCACGTTGTACCACTTTTTGGTCAGAAGTTTTAGAATGGAAAGAATCCAGAAGGAAATCAGAAGAAAGTGATATTTAACACTCTCACTTTTCCAAAGCTATTCATGTGTAGATACCTTTTTTTTGTATTTTTGCCATCTATAATAAGATTTCTGACAGATAAAATAAAAATGTTGGGAGTTACCATGTTACATGGTGCCTGAATTACTTACTTACAATGGTAGGTTAAAGGGAGAAAGAGGGTTTGAGGGACAACTTTCGTGGATGGTGCCTTAGTTTCAGAAAGTTGTTTTTACATCAGTTTGAGCACCCCCTCAGAAACATATTTACTGCCCAGTTTAAATATTTTGTGAGAAACACACACACAAAAAGGAAACAATTAAGCACCCACTCCAAAAGTAGTGTTTTTTTAAAGAACACTTTCAACTGGATATTAATCAATCAATCAATCAATAACCTTTATTGGCATTAAAACCAATAACCATACAATCAAGATTATACTTCCCACTGCAATAAGATAAATATGGTCAAGTTACATCAAGGATCCTTGAAGCAGTCAATCTAGTTTATTACAATAGCAAGATATTCAGCTAAATGCTCAGTCAAATCAGGTTGTTTATCTGCTAACATCATTTGGATTAAGCTCTCAGGGGAGCCAGAGAAATTTGAAATAACAGAGCGAAGTAGTACTGTAATTGACAGACCTCGCTAAATTTAGGTCACTGAAGAAGAATATGTAAAATTGAGTCCAATTCTGCTAAGCAGTGCTTTTACTGGCTTGTATTAGTTTGGGAATTCCCTTTATTTTAGAAAATTAGGCTACAAGAAATGGTCAGTGGGCCATAGTCCTCAAAAAACTAATGACTATTAAAACTTCTTAGTCCGTAAGGTGCCAGCTCTCTGCTGTTTTAAAGAAAAATAGAACCCAATATTAAATTGGGATATTCCAATGAAATAGTAAACTGAAAGCGACATCAAAAGACCCAGAAAAATAGTACGGAATATATGATTTTAAAGAATCCTTTTAATCAATAGCTAATAAGGCTTACTCCTTGTTGTTTGATTGCTTGCCTGAAGCAGACTATAGCTCAATCACATGCAGCTGGTTCTAGCTTTTCTCACAGAACCTGACAAACATTCTCTGCTTCATTAAAAATATAGAGATTCCACTTTAGATTACACATTGAGGTCACATATACACAGTTTTGAAGTGATTCCTAACTATTGGGCCCGGGATGCTCCAAAATTGCAATTCCCATAATCCTCAGTCAGCATGGGTAGTAGCTATGGATGATAGAGACTGCAATCCAAAAATATCTGAGTTCCTAAGGAGCCAGGCATCAAGAGTCTGATTCCCCACTATACCTCCCATGGTAAGCTCCATGGGCACAGCAGCTCCAGAAGAAGGGAATGGTATTGGGCAGAGCAGCTCCAGAAGAAGGGAATGGTACTCACTTCTGAAAAATCTGTATTTAGAAAACCTCTGTGAGGGTTGTTGTAAGTTTGAGTTGACTTGATGCACATGATTATTGCTATTCAGGTTAGAAATTACCAATTAAATAATTGGATTACAGCTATCACAGGCACAGTTAAGGCTACCCCATTTCTAAATTCTTTCAACTAAAGTTTAGTATGCATTAAGTTGTAAATTCAAAATTTCCCCTTACAAAGCAACTGTTAAATAATATTTGGGTACCAGTTCCTAATTTATTTAAGCCAGGGATAAAGAATTTGTGGACTTCCAGATGTTGCTAGACCAAATATCTTTTCATCTCTCAAATTTGGCTACATTTGTGAAGGCTGCTAGGATCTGCAGCCTATCAAAATCTGGAGGACCACCAACTATTTCAGGAACTGTTAGGTTTTATCTTTGTTGCCTGGAAAAAAAACACTAGTTTACTGCTATCAAACAGAATAGAAAATTGGGGATGGAGAATAAATTTTGTACCATGAAAACAACTTGGCAAAAAAATTAGTTCAATACAACATAAACAATTGTCATAATTAGCAAATGATGGCAACATAAAACAAAGGCAGTACTGTAGTAAGTAAGTATACATGAGACTTTAAGACCAGTTCACACAAGACTCTTATTCAAAGGTCATGTGGCATAGGGATGTGATTAGTACTTGTAAATTTAATTCTCTGAGTCTAACTATGCTGATACTTCCCACTGAAACTTCTCCCAATATCAACAAGATTTCATGGCTTTATGGGGAAAAA